GCAAGAGTAGAGAGGTAAATACTGCAACTGAAGTAAGGAACAAGAAAAAAAAAACATATTAGGCAGCTCTTTTAAATCACAAATAACTCTCCAAAGAAGCTGCTGAAGTATGGAAGGAAAAATAAAACAAAGTGTGATCAAAATGAATAAGGATAAATATTTATGTATGTGAAGAATCTGACAAAGAAAATAGCAAGAATAGTAAGTATAGGTTTATCAAAGAACACTGGTATTAAATATGATGTCAAGATATTCCTGTTTCCATCTGTTTGATCTAGTCACTGCATGAGATTCTAAGATTATCATTTACTAAACAGGTACCATGATGGCACCAACAGACTCATTTGGATTGTAGGTTTGTCAGTATTTATCAGCTCTACCTTTGACTGCTCTGTTAACATGATTGTTTTGCTTTTTGGATCAGCTTGCAATTTAGGCTTGCATATGGTTAAAATCATTATTATTTTCACACTGTCTCATGTTGAAAATGAATTGATATGCATAAGCATTCCACATATTTGTATTTGCCCGCTTGTTTTTTACCCCAAACATAGTGTTAAATTGTTCCTAATGTCAACTGTATATAATCAACATAACGATGATCATTTGTTTATCAGTTACTTGAAAATGTACATTAATGTAAATTTATGTGCCATTATTTTCTCTCATCTAGTGCTCTCAGAAATGCATTTTCACTCATTATTCATTGTTGTTGCCTTATTACAAGTACAATTTATAAGTAAAGTTGTAGGTAAATAGGAAAATGTTTTAATTATCCTGACAGGGCCCCAGTATACTTCTAAGGCCTGGGGCCTACAACAGTAAATCCATCTTTGACATGATCATGTAATGTCATACCCTTTATAACAAGATTTTTAAGTTAAAAAAATCTAAATATCCACTTTGACATGATCACATAACAATCATTAATTATTGTACCAATGAAATTATTTGGTGAATATATAGAAAAGCAAACAAAGTAATATAATATTATGCAGTTTTGCAGGCACTTTCTACAAGAAACACAGTAGTGAGACGAGACTGAGGAAAATAAGGGAAATGCATTAAGTACTGAGAAGAAAAATGGTGGGTAAGTGTAATGCTAATAAAAAGAAGAGAAAGAAAGAATTGATGAAGCACCTGAATGCAAGAGACAGATGCAAAAGTCAAGAGAGCTCTAAAGCAAAGGGATGTATGTCTCAAGATTCAGTGCTCGGTTCACTCTTCTTGGTTGTGGTGTTGGAAGAAGGGTGTGAGTGTAGGGAAAGAGTAGATGATATATTTCTTTTCAACTCTACATATGTGAAAGGTGGGGAGAGAAATGACAAAATTCTTTAGACTATAACACACACCCATGCCCACACACCATGCCCCCCCTCCCCACACACAAAATAAATACATTTTTGTAACACAGAATCCAACACCTCACATAAATCTTTGCCTACTATAGTATTACTGGTTGGTAATATGTTTATATTAGCCCCCAGAAAACTCAAAACATCAATGGAAGAAAGTAAAATTCAAACACAATTTCACTTTAAATATATTTATATACAAACTCAAATTATACATGATCTACAATGTGATCACGGCCAAGCCATAAATATTGTGATCTTCGCCTGCTTGATTTTTAGCTTGCCCATAACATTCCCCTTCTTCCATTCACATATAATTTACAAGTCATCTCGAACCTGAAAAATAGAATTGGTGTTAGTTATTAAAAAAAATTCATGTCATCATAGGATAGATTTTTTCATGATTGGTGATGTGAGATATGGAGATTTCTACAAAGTTTTTTTGGCTGAAGTAGTAATAATAATAATAATAAAAAAGGAAATAATGCCACTAAAATTACATTAAAACACATCCACAAAAACTATAAAAGTTCATCAGTTCACCCCTCCCCCCTCCTTAAGCTGAAAAATAATAAATCTGATCCTATGCACAGTTAGCTAATCTTAGCTAAGAACACTCAAGTCATTCTTCCCCTGATATGTGCATCTTTAAACTCCAGACACACAAAAAAAAAACACACACACAACACTATACCATGACCCCATAACCAAAGGCCACCAGATCCCAAAGCAACACGTAACGTACCATGAACCCTGGTCCAGGAGGGGGACTGGTGAGAGAGGTGAGGCCTCCTAAGGGCTCTGCAGCAAAGCGACCATTGCGAGGACCTGCCTTGGGCACCTTCCCTAGTGCCAGCGAGTCGAGAATTTCTTCAGTGTCCTTTACTTCGAGGTCCTCCTGTTATGGGATGGAATAGGGTGTCAGCCATGAAAGAAACTAATGAACAAAATATTTGTAATATTAAGAGAAATAATAACAACAATAACAGCAATAATAATAATAATAATAATAATAATAATAATAATAATAATAATAATAATAATAATAATAATAATAATAATAATAACAACAATAACAATAACAATAACAATAACAATAACAATAACAATAACAATAACAATAACAATAACAATAACAATAACAATAACAATAACAACAATAAAATAATAATAATAATAATCAATAGTAAACAAAAAATATAATAATAACAAAAATAATAATAGTCAGAAAATGAACAAGCAAAAGGAGAAGGCAAAAAAAGTGGTGGTGGTGGAGAAGAAGGAGGAGGAGGAGGTGGGGAGGAGGGGGAGGAGGAGGAGGGGGAGGAGGAGGGGGGGGGAGGAGGAGGAGGGGGGGGAGGAGGAGGGGGGGGGAGGAGGAGGAGGAGGAGGAGGAGGAGGAGGAGGAGGAGGAGGAGGAGGAGGAGGAGGAGGAGGAGGAGGAGAAGGAGGAGGAGGAGGAAGAGGGGAGGAGGGGGGGAGGGGGGGGAGGGGGAGGGGGAGGAGGAGGAGGAGGAGTAAGAAGAGGAGGAGGAGGAGGAGGAGGAGGAGGAGGAAGAGGAGGAGGAGGAGGAGGAGGAGGAGGGGGGGGAGGAGGAGGAAGAGGAGGAGGAGGAGGAGGAGGAGGAGGAGGAGGAGGAGGAGGAGGAGGAGGAGGAGGGGGGGGAGGAGGAGGAGGAGGAGGAGGAGGAGGAGGAGGAGGAGGAGGAGGAGGAGGAGTAGGAGGAAGAAGAGGAGGAGGAGGAAGAGGAGGAGGAAGAAGAGGAGGAGGAGGAGGAGGAGGAGGAGGAGGAGGAGGAGGAGGAGGAGGAGGAGGAGGAGGAGGAGGAGGAGGAGGAAGGAGGAGGGGGAAGGAGGAGGAGGAAGGAGGAGGGGGGAGGAGGAGGAGTGTAAAGGAAAAGAAGACAAAGAAGAAGAGGAACAAAAAGATAATCAACAACAAAAATAATAGACAATAATTATACTTACAACATTAAAAAAATAAAAGACAACGACAAGATTGAAAGTATAGAACCAAACCTACAAACAATCTCAAAGCTCAACCCTCCACAACTTACATAATAATTATCGTTTATCTGCATCATGGGAGCATTGACGCACGCCCCCAGGCACTCCACTTCAGAGAGGGTGAAGAGGCCGTCCTTCGTGGTCTCGCCAACCTTGATTCCCAACTTGTCATGGATAACCTTCATGACCTCATCTGACCCCCGGAGCCAGCAGGGGGTTGTGGTGCACACCTGGATGTGGTACTTGCCGACAGGATTTCTGGTGAGATATAACAAGCGGTGAGCAATAACAAATAATGATTAATTAATGGTTGTCTTTTCTTCTGTATAACATTAGGAAAAACAGTAATAGCAATAACAACAGTAACTAATAAAACACAATCAATTACCTCATGAACATGGTGTAGAAAGTAGCAACTTCATATACACGCATGCGGGGCATGTCTAGCATCTTGGCAACGGCATGCATAGCAGTGATGGGAAGCCAGTTTCCAACCTGGCGCTGTGCAAGGTCCAGCAGGGGAATCACAGCTGCTTTCCTGTGGCCTTCTGGGTAAATTGAGATGATCGCCTCTGCCCTCTGAAAATTTGATTACATCCCACTTAAATTTTTTAGGAAGTATTTGTATAAATGAGCAACTAATATAAATTTCACTTTACAAAAATGTTTGGTACAATTCGTAATTTCATTATGGACTAATTAATAACAATAACAGCATAAAAATACCCTTAAAAGAGGTGTTATTTCCTCCTATCTCAATCTTTACAAACATTCCTTATGGCATCACACTATAATGTTTGAAATATAGGAACTGGAGTTTTGTTCCCAAGCTCCTCATTCTGTTTACAACAAGGAGTACCACAATCCCATTTCTATCTGTGCTTGACCCACCATCATTAAAATTCAAATCTTACCTTCACATTCTCAGCGGTGAATTCAAATGGCATGTCAATATTGTTATCTTTCGAGTCACGGTGCTGAAAGGGAAATTGAGATTTGTAAACTGATATAGTGGTTGACAGAAATATTATTCATATGTTAACTCTAAAAGCACCAAATATTGACAGGATGTGCAGTAAAGATGATTGTAACCTTGGATAATGAAACTATATACAAATATATTTATTTACATATTTCTATAAATTTGATATCATAAAAGTGCTTCTTATATGTCTGTGTTAAGAATGCAATAATACTGAGACTCTCTAAGATAGTATCCATTAGAAAATATATAATAACTTACCACAAAGAGGCTGTCGCTACATGCTGCTGCACTTCTGTGCACATTTCGCACACTGCGCACCTGTAGAAAAATAATGGAGTGAGTTCATTTCCTTAAAAATGTGTATTCATAATAGGCCTGCTTGAAATTTGCCAGAAAGTGCATTACAGATAACGCTATGGCATCAATAAACTTATCCGCACGAGTATAGGTTTACAGACTTTGATAGGGGAATGTTACCCTACCTTCTGTAGACTATACTTTTTATATGGCTGCCACTCATCCCCTAGTATTTAAATATATAAGAATCATTAGGTGATAATTCTGTAATTTTCAAGAAGAGATTGAAAAGTTATCAACTGTTCAGTATTATGATATGAATCACATGAGCAGCACAAGTGATTATCAGTGTGTGTTATCATCGAGAAAGGCCCCATGAAGCAATATCTTACTGGTGGAGTATGACCTTAAATATCTTAAAAGTAAGAAGTAAGCAGCCCCATAATCTTAGTTCTGACTATAGCAGGACATGAAGTATACAAGTGTAAAGTAAAATATGAAGTAAAAGGAGTTGCATGTACTATACATACAAAGAATATCAGTATATCATCTTGCTGGGAAATGTGTCCCCTGTAACCCACTTTAAGGGGGGTTGCTGCCCCTGAATCCTAGCTCACAAGGACAAATATCCTCCACATATATATGACTTGAAGGAGCTGAAGGAATACACACTAACCTGAGACATACTATGTTATACAATGCAGGGGCTGTGACAATCCACAGACTAGAACAACCACAAACTCTATTAGCAAATAGTATTGGAAGGCACAGGTCAAAAGAGCATGATGATGGACCACATTCCCACATTACCTCCAGGTGATGGATGCAGGACTTTAAGGAAACACAGGAAAACTTGCAGAAAAAGCTAGACTCTGGGCAGCATGCAATACCACATACTAATCAATTATTATGCACAAGATCACCGATTGACTGTGCATAACAGTAGGGGTATGAGTTTTTCATCCTGAGAAAGATGTGGATTAATCTTTATGGTATAGATCCACTAAGTTAAGGAAAATTGAGGACAATATTCTTGTATAGAAGAAAAAGTTGCATTCATCAGTACAGGTTAATAATCTGCAGACATCAACAGCAGTGCCACAAATATAGGAAAAAATTATCATGGAAAGCACCACT